GACACAACATCTTTGTTGGTATGTGGTGCTGAGGATCGAACCCGGGCCGCACTCATGCCAGGCGAGCGCGCTACCGCTTGAGCCACATCCCCAGCCCTATAGATAGTGCTTTTTTGTGTCTTAAAGAACCTTTTCCTAGCCTAAGGTTAGCTCTTAATTAATTTGAAATAGATTATTATAAAGTTGGGGTCCAATTTCATGTTTTTTTCCTTAAGAATACCCATTTTCCCCAGCCCTTAGTTCTTGAAATGCTATTCTTTATGTAAGCAAAGGATCTTCAGTGCTAGTTTTGTCACAAATAACCATAAATTCGTGGTGTATTTCTAACTAGTCATTATTCCTGTGTTAGTCCCACAATTCTGACATTGTATTAATAATAATTCTTGTTAGACAAGTTATATAGTGTTAATCTATATTTTCAAAACTTCTTGGCCTTCATTGGCAATTTATGCTTCCATGTATACTTTAGCGTCAGCTCCTTAGGTTCAAACCCAGCAAAGCTCTCAAGAAATTTTAGATCTGTAGGTCAGTTTAGGAAAGCCGGCACCCGACAATACTGAGTCCTGTAAATGAAGATCAGCTTCCTCACTGGCTGTCTTTCTGCCTTTCTTGGTAAACTATTTAATAATGTTGTTATTTTCTCATCTGAAGACTTTACATGGTTTTTTTTAAGTTTTTCTCCTAGATACTTTGTATTCTCAGAGATACTATAAATGTTATCTTTTAGATTTTTAAATTATTTATTGCTAGTTTGATGGTTTTGCATATTTTTGTTCATTTGTACTAACTCTGTTAAAACTCACAGATTTGAAGTATAATATTTGTGCAATTTAAAAAAATGAGCTTACTATAGAATTTTTTATTTTGATGTACAGTACTTTGCATTTTAACACATGTATGGATGTATGTAAGTGCTGCCATAATCAGGATAGGGAATGGGCTTATCATTCCCTAAAATTCCTTTGTGTGCTTTGGCTACATAGTCAGACCCCCTCCCATCTTCATTATCTGGCAACTGCTGCTCTGATCTGTTCTTTTCCCTCTAGCTTTGTGTTTTCCAGATGTCATATACATGGAGTTAGGCAGTGTCGACTTTCCGAGACCAACTTCTTTTACTTTACACAGTGATTTTGACATTCATCCATGTCAATGCATGCATTCCTTTTTATTGCTAAATAGTGTTCCATTCTACAGACATACCAAAGTTTATCTATTCATCCATTAAATTAATTATGTTGTTGTTATTATTTTTTGACTCTTCAAATTACTCCAGTTTCTTGGATGAACTACTTGACCTCTTGTGTATCAGTTTCTTCGTTGACAGTGGTGATAATAATGGTACCTACCTAATAGGTTATTATGGGGATGAGTATGTTAACACATATGAAGTAGCCAGTTCTCCATATTTTTGGGTTCCCCATCTGTGGATTCAATCTACCACAGTAATACTTAAAGAAAAATAATTGTGTCTATAGTGAAAATATTTTTCTTGCCATTTTTCCTTAATGCAGTATAATAACTATTTACATACCATTTCCCTTGCATTAGTATTATAAACAATCTAGAGATGAATTAAATTATGTGGAAAGATGTGCATAGATTATATGCATCTACTTTGACATTTTATATAAGGGTCTTGCACCTGTGGATTTTGGAATCCTTGAGGGGTCCTGAATCAGTGCTCTATGCATACTTAGAAAAATGCTTATTACGGAGTACACAGCCCATTATTATTTTGGTTTCCAATATTAACAGAGATTTTGAGGTAGAAAAGAACTTGATAGGTTCAAGGACTAGCTGGTGTCTGGGTTTTGTAATATGCAAGGAGGAGCAGGAGTACCAGAGGACAGGGAGAGGAAGTATGCAGGAACCAAGAGCCTCATGGGCTGATGCAAGGAGCTTTGATTGGATTGCAGTTGCAATGGAAAGCTGGGGATGAGACATGAGCTAGTTCGTGTTTTTAATAGATTACTCAGGCTGATGTGAAGAGAGTCAATCATGGTGTTTTTAAGAGAGAGAGCAGGCTTCCTCCTAGAAGGCTGGGGAGGAGTAGTGGGTGAATTATAGCAGTTGTTGTGGGAGGAAGCTGACAGGTGTTTTGACTTGAGGTATGGTGTGGTTGTAAAACCAAGAGCTTGCTAACCAATTCACAGCTCTGAGAAGGAAGCCCCTTCCTCATAGGAGCAGCGGTGTGGCTGGCCATGATTGCCAACAGCAACATTCCTGCCCGGTGGGGCTGTACCAGAGGTTTTCCTCCTCCACTTTTGAAGTGGAACCTCAGCTTTGTCTACTCTATGAAGTCCACATAGAGAAACTGTCTTCTGCACATTTTTAAATGAGGGACGGATTTCTTTCCTACTCATATAATTCCTGAATACATTTGTTAAAAAAAAAAGTAAGGCAAAAGAACTGGCTTATTCCACAAAAATATATCCTCATAGCAATTTGCTTTGTAGTTCTCTGCAGCATGTGTTGTTCTGTGACCCCACATGCTCAGCTGCTCTCCTAGGAGTAGAAATAAGTTGCCTTGGCTGCTTCATCTGTAGCCAGCAGAGTTTTAGTGGTTGGCTGGAGTTCCCATGTGCACAGGGGACTTATTGTTGGAATAAACATTATTGGACACAGATGAAAATTGGACCAGAAATTTATTTTTGTCCTCCTTTCAACCTCAATTTGCTCTAGAATCTCTCATTCAAATGACAAATAGTCTGGTCTTCCTGAGAGATTTGAAGACTGAAACCAGCCCTTGTGGGCTTACTTAGCCTTGTATTCAAATGGAGATTTTTCTTTTTTGGAAGCAGTTAAAAATAGAGTTCTCTGATCTCACATAGAAAGTTTTCTTTGATTTCCTGCTCTTAACACATCTGTGTTTGTTCTCTGTGGGGCCCTAGCTTCCAACTCCTCCTTCAAGATAAACACCTGACCAGGTCTTTATCTGAAACACACTCATCTTGCTTTTTTTTTTTTTTTTTTTGCCTTTTTAATCCTATCCTATCTGCTTAATTTGGGACTTTTTAAAAATAATTCAGAGTTTTTCAGAGGAAGGAATTTCTCCTTTACCCCGAGCTACTTGTAATCTTTGGGCCCAAAGGCTAACATCTCTCATCAGGTTAATGTCATTTGTGTCTTCTGTTGTCTCAGCTTATTTGTAGAAGGGACTCTGGGACCTAGGAGATGCTCACTTGAACTTTGTACCTCATTGTGTGCTTCTTTGTAACCTGGCTTCTTTTGTGATCTTACAGAATACCAAGCTGCTATTTTACACTTGAAGAGGGAACACAAAGAAGAAATTGAAAACCTGCAGGTATATCTCTTTGATTCTACTGAACTGGTTATCTGATATTTAGTTTTGTCATGTGCTGAAGTAAATATTCTTCTGGTGTGAAGTATTGAACTAGTCAGTATCTGTAGCTTGCACCTGCCAGTGGGCATGAGCTTATCCTGGGGATGTAAGTCTTGGACTCTATATCTAATTGAATTCAGTTCTTAATTTTTTTTGGCAGGGGGAGAAACATAAAAGACTTTTATTTTATTAGAAAAAAATAATTTTTTTTAAAGTAGGGAAGAAGACAGAGTATTTAGACTTTCATTGTATGAATTTTATTTTAAAAGTTTTCCTATGCACAGTGTAGATTATTTGTGTTGGTCTTGCTCCCAAGCATGAGTTCATGTCCACCTGTCTCAGCACATCCCTGCACTGGGATGTCTTGCAATTTAAGGCCCTTGAGGAAAAGGAGCTGGTAGGAGTAAGAGGTATGTGAGTCATCCTGTATCCACAGGAAGTGCTAGGAAGTTAAGATCTCCCTCCTTACATGTGAAGCCCAGCATAACACAGGGATCATTTTCCTTGTCTTGCCATCTAATCCTCGTGTCCTGTTGTTGGCTTTTGCTTGCATTGCTTACAGCAGGGAGTTTAGAATGTTAGCTTCAAGTAACTAGATAGTGAATCAGACCTGCAGTCTAGTCTATTGATGGCTGGAAGTTTGCTGGGGCCCCTTTGGCTGTGGCTCTCAACACTTCAGGAAAAAAATAATAGCAAAATTTAAATAAGCTTTATATTCATTTAATGCTAACTCATTGTTTGCTAATTTAATGAATTCATGGATCTTATATTCTTCTTCTCTTTTTTTTCAATTTGTTTTATTGACAAATAGAAATTGTATGTATGTGTGGTATATAGCATGTTTTAAAATATGGATGATTGTAGAATGACTAAATTGAGTTCATTGACATGCATTAATTCATGTGTATAATTTATTTGTGATGACATTATTTAGACTCTACTTTCTTAGCAATTTTGAAGTATAAAATACATTGTTATTAACCATAACCATGGTTACCACAGTAGATCTCTTAGTCTCATTCCTAATTTCTGATTGAAATTTTGTGTCCTCTGACCAATCTCTCCCTTCTCTTTTCTTCTATCTCCTACTCTCTATCCCTTAGTAGACAACATTCTATTCTGTTTCTATGATTTCAGCTTTCTAAATGGGATGGTGCAGTATTGGTCTTTCTCTGCTTGATTTATTTCACTTCATCCAATGTCTTCTAGTTTCATCCATGTGATTGCAAATAACAGAGTCCCCTCTTTTTAAAGGTTGAGTTGTATTACATTGTGTCTGGCTACCACATTTTCTTTATCTTCTCTTCCACTGATAGACACATAGACTGGTATTATTTCTTGGATTTTGTGAGCAATATTGCAATGAGCAAAGAAGTACATATATCTCTTGGAAATAGTGATTTCATTTTCTTTGGATAGATACCCAGTAGTGGAATTGCTGAATCATATGGTAGATCTCAGTTTTTAATAATGGCTTTGCTAGTTTACATTTCCATCAGCAGTGTACAAGGGTTCCCTTTTCTCTACATTCTTGTCAATATTTGTTCTTTTACCTTTTTATAGTATTAATCATTCTGACAAGTATGAAGTGATATCTCATTGTGTTTTTAATTTGCATTCCCTGATTAGTGACATTGAGCATATTTTCAAATACCTGCACGCCTTTTGTGTGTGTTCTTTTTTTTTTAACCTTTATTTTATTTACTCATGTTGTGCTGAGGATTGAACCCAGTGCCTCACATGTGTTAGTCAAGTGCTCTACCACTGAGCTACAACCCCAGCCCCTTGAGAAATGTCTATTTGTTTCTTTGCTTGTTTTTAAATTAGCTCATTTGATTCCTTGCCATCAAGTTACTTGAGTTCTTTATATATTTTGTAGCCACTTACTAGATGTATATCAATAGTCTCCTTTTTAGCAAATGATAATATGTCTTTATAAAATACTTGAGGTAGTATTCCGCATTATACATGAAGTCATTATCAGTAGCAAAAAGTAAAAAAAAAAAAAAATATTAGCAGCATGGTGTGTGATTTAACTAACCCAGGCAGGTTTAAGTAGTTGGGGGCAATGAGTCCATTTCATGAAGAAACAAGAGAGTTGAAAAGTACCTGTCCCCTGGGGAGAAAGATCCTCATCTCCTTGTTGCAGAATGCCCTACAGAGACCTCTCTTTCTTTTTCTTTGTTCTGGTGTGGAATAGATTGTCAGCTGTCTCAGGATTTGAAGTTGATGGGGGATAATTTAAGATGCAGGTTTGTGAAGAGGGTAGGTATAGAAGTGATTCTGTAAACAGAAGTTTTATTAACAGTCAAGTATAAGAGTTGACACTAGTTTTCCCCAAATTGTAGATCCAGCCTAGTCAAGCTGGGACCACTAAATAATATTCACAGCAGGATTAAATGTTTACACTTTTTTGAGTTCTTACTCTGTGGTAGGCGTTGCTCTAAGCACATTACATATATTATCTCATGTCATCTCTGCAAATGCTATGATCTTAAATCTCAAACTCAAAGAAAATGTTCTTTTTAATCTTTTTTTTTAGTTGTTGATAGATTTTCATTTAAACCCAGTGCCTCCCACATGCTGCACAAGTGCTCTATCACTGAGCTACAACCCAGCCCCAAAGAAAAGGTTCATATATCAGTCAACTCTCTATTACTATAGCAAATACCCGAGAGAATCAAATTTAAAAGGATGAAAGGTATATTTTGGTTTGTTGTGGTTTGAGAGGTTTCAGTCTGTGGTCACTTGGCCCTGTTGCTTTGCATCTGTGGTAGTGCAGTCTGCCATGACAGGAGCCGGTGGCAGAGGAGGTCTGTTCACCTCATGGCATGCTGGAAGCAAAGAGAGAAGCAGGAAGGGGCTGAGGTCCTGATAGCCCCTTCAAGGGCATGCCCCCTATGACCCCAACTCCTTCCACTAGCCCGACTCCTAAAGGTTCAACCAGCTCCCAGTAGTGTGAAAGGCTGGGGCCCAAACCTTTATCACATGGGCCTTTGGGGGACATTCCAGATCCAAACTGTGGCAGTGGAGAAAAGACAGTGTATTGTGATCATGATCTCCATTTAAAATACGAGTTAGACTAATAAGGCATGATTCGCTGAAGTGAAAAGTTAAAAAAAAATGTAACTATAGCTTAGATTATTTTTGAAAGTTAATCTCTCAAAGCATTATCTACTCTTTGATGCTATTAGTAAACTTAAAAGTTTTTTTTTCTTTCTGTCCCACTTAAGATTTTACACCTAATTGCTAAAACACTGTGGCCAAGGCACACTACTCCCATTGGGGCACTAGCAGTCTCTATTCCAGCAGTCACAGAAAGACAGCCCTCAGTAGGAAACTGGCCACTCTTAGCTCTCATCTGACCTGGAGAAGTATATTGCTTTGCAAGCACAACCTTTTAAAATTGAACTTCTAGGAATAAATAAACATTTTTTTTAATGTAGAGATTTTTATACAAAAAGATGGATTTCTAACAGCTTCTTAGAAAAAGGGGGAGGAGTCTGATACAGTGTTTTTCAGTGTGACTTTGGCCTCTTAGTGTTGGTAGTAGACATCACTTCAACCAGGACTTTCTCTCCAGGTTGCCACTGTCCATTCTGGCCAGGTCACCTGCTTGACTCCTCTGTGCTAACCCCATTTTCTCAGTGATAATAATACAGTGAAACAGCTAGTTTGGCAGCAGCACCAACCTGTCAGAGAAGATGCTGTTCATAAAATACATAGAAAGAAAAATCCCAGCCTGGCTATCCTTGTGGGTACCCACTGGGATAGCATCCCTACCTGTTTTATTCCATGAAGTAACAAAGTCCCTCTTGTCACAGGATTGGTGGAAGGTAATGGTGGGGGACCTGCTGTGTTGGTGCTCATTTCTTTGTATGATATTCATTCATTAGAGCCTTTATTGCCTGTTACAATTTCTAACAAATATGTATTTCAGGATTTCTTCAACATGCCTTTCTAGAATAGGAAGGATTTAATTCTTGAAGTGCACCAAAATGGTGGTTCATTCTGTCACTATATACAAGAATTGATTTGCATCACATTTAGGTTTTGGGGAATGCTTCCATAGGAGTTAAAGAAGCAGTATGATTTGCCTAACAAGGCATCTAAATTTAGTCTTCCAATCTGGATTTGTAGAGAAGTTGTTCAGTTCATTCACCAGCAAAATGGAAACCTTACCACCTAAAATATTTTAATTGGATGGCTGACTATCTGCCCATAGTCTGAAAGTTTAGTGAGTGGGGAGCCTAGAATGTTTAATATCATGTATGCCCTGCAGCTGATGTTTGTTGAGTGCTGCAGAGAAGGCACAGGGCTTGGACCCAGGATTGGCTTTTTAAAATATGTAGCAAATTACATGTGTATTCCCCATATAGCTCAGAAGCAAAATTTATTGATAGCACAAATCAATCATTTTCTGCCATCTTACTTTTTTGCAAATTCACTGAACTTGATCAATTTTTTAAATATCTAGAGGGGAAGTGGTGGTATATCAAGCATTTTTTATGTCATTTATAATGTAACCACAAAAAGTTCTTTAATTTGTTTTCCAAGTGTGCCTTTTACTTATCAAATTGCCTTGAGTTTATGGTTGCTTCATAATACTCTGCATCCATCTTGTTTGTTTTTCAATTCCGTGTTTCTAACTTCATTTTTGGAAACACAGAATCTTATGTTTAACAGTTCCTTGCAGTTTTTTATTTGAGAAGGTTTTGCATGGGATAGCCATTTCACAGCAAGTTCATGATTACTGGGTAGAAATAGAATCAAACCTATTGAAGTCTATGATAAAGCTCATTCCCTGACAGTACAAATAATTATTGCTTTGAGGTTGTTTAGGAGCTAAGATTTGAAAATTGTTATCACAGATCTTTTATAGCTGATCTCTCCCCATATTGTAGTTTGAAGACTAGGTGGCATATTATTTTATACTTGATGACAATGTGAAAAGAAACTTG